CACGACTGCTCATGTTGTGTTGATGTGATTCAGGTGTGTAGAAACAGGGAAAGCTCTCAAATCTGCAGGAAAGCGTCCCCTCACGGCCTGGAGTTGCCCACCCCCAGTCTAGATCAATTTCCTGCAACAGCATCTCACACCCAGTGATGAAAAAGATGGTAATCGTTCTGATGCCCTATGTGAACAGTATATCAGAATGTATTGATATACCACATGAATCTCATTTTATTCATCTGAGCAGTGCTGTGTATTAAAGAGGCAGTGTTTCAGTAAGATGATCGAGGATATAGATTATGGAATCTACTTGTAGACTGGTTTTATTTAGTAGTAGTACTCTCCATAGGGTATTTATTATTTGTTAAATAATAACTAGTTGTACCCTATTTCAAGGATGAATTCAGTTAATTGTTTGATAACATCAAGCATAGTCTCCTATAAAGAATGCATACTCTGTTTGAACTGGAGCCTTTTTTAGGCTGCTTGATTATAATCCTACTATCCAAATTCCAAAGCAGAATTTAATCGGTTGGTGTTTTATAAAACAGTTTGTTTAATTAAATAGCTGGACTTATGATGCGTCACTTATCTGACAGATGTGTTATTTTGTCAACTGCTTTTAAATTCTAGGGTGTTTCTAGATTACCACTCTGCAGGGATTGTTCAAATTAGATTTCTATAAAATAATACAAAAAATGGCTGTTACCGAATGTTGGTTCTTATGTATGCAAAATCTTGCACATGTTGTGAAACTGCAGGTCTTCTTTATGCCCCGACTGGAATACATTTGCGGTCATTGTGAGGTACTTACTTCCACAGATGTGTAGACTAGTTGATTTAGCATATGCATCCGGTTATACTAACTATACTGTTTTGTCAATAATAATGTGCTCTTATCAGATGATTTTGTGTGTTAGACTTCAGCATATCCAGCGTTGAGCGTGTGAGATCTTTCAGCTGTGGAGAATAACTTGTCTGAACTTCAACTGGGTATTGTCAAAGTTTGTGGGAAATATGAACAGGAAATGTGGATCATCAGGTGACCCGCTGTTAAATCAGCTAATGTGCAGTTTCAAGCAATAACTTCAGTACAAGCTAATAATCAAAAGCACCCTCGAAAGAAGCCAATTACTGTAATTCATTTTCTTTTGTAGCGAGAAAATCAACGCTTTCTCTGTTTGATTAACTATGACTTTTCTGTTTTGCTCATCCCTCTGATTACTTATGTACTGTCCCTTAAAGAACAAACCCTGCACTCACCAAAAATCAAAACCTGAGTCCCAAGATATTATTAATCTGAGCAGTTACCTATGGGGTATCTTGTACAGCAGATTTCAAGCAAAGCTCTTTCCATTTGACTTTTTTTCTCAACTTTTACAAACACTATTGCTAAGTTCATGTTATAGCTTATTTCTTTAAAGTGATCCCGATTTACCAACAAAACTAGTAACCAATTGATGGATAACTGATCCATCAATAACCATTGTGGTTTCTAACTATTTGTTCATTCTGAGAAATTCTGGATTTGTCAGATATTCTTTTGCCATTGTCAAGGATTTTAGGGACATTTTCAAACCAGTTCGGAGTGAACAAATTCAGTCGTCTCAGCTGCGGTTTCAGGGATTTTAGAATGTTTGTATGTCTGATGAAGGAGTTCATGTGGAGACAGGACTCCTGAAATGAAGCCTCCCTATTTCTAGCTCTCTAACATGTCCCAAAAAACTAAGCAAACTAAACAAATCACTAAGCTTATAGCAATTATGTAACACTACAGCTTTGCTCTTTCTCACCTCGCTGTGTGTTTTCTACGCTGTGATGAGTGTCACACTATGCCTTTCATTTCCTTTGCAGTCGTGTGAATACAAAATAATTCAAAACAACAAACGTAAGGTTGAAAAATATAGTGTTCTAAACTGTTACGACAAACGGCAGGAACATGAACATCAAGGCTCAGCTTGTGCACAGGAAAGCTTTAAAGGATATGTGGCAATAATTTGTTTGCTTACCTTACTTTTAAAGTGAACCGCATCAGCAAATTGTCTCATTTGCATTTTATTATTGGTCTTGAAATGTGGAGTGAAGTGTCTGTAAAGGCAATATTTGGTGCTTTCAGGTATATACCTTGCCCTGCCATTGATCCTATACAAAGGAGGGCATGGTAATATCTTGGTACTCAAAAGAACACATAACTCTGACTTGAGATTGTATCATAATGCACTTACTTGGGTAAAGACCTATTTTAAGAGTGGTTTTATCTGAGCTGTGTCATGGTTAAGCTAGGATGGTGGCGCCTACAATAAAGCTCAGTGATTGCTGCCAGTGGAAGCTAGTTTATCAGCGCTTGGGTTGGGCAGACTATTGCCCTGTCATTGCTTCTCTGGAGACCCACTGTGGTGATGGTGAGCAGGCAAGCCCGACCATGCTGTTAGCATCAACCCTGAGAACATAGAAGCTCTCTCACTGCTGGATATCCAAAGGGACGTATCTCTGGCACTTGACAAATCGTTCTTAGTTTAGCTTATGATTCTGGCAAGATTTTTTTACTTCAGATAAAATGGTGGAGGTTTAGCAGCAAGTCATTTAGGAATTTAACTAGTTGATGGTGAGAAGGTCTTCCCATGTGGCTGAACTAAGTTGTAGCCATTATTCTGTGGAACAACAACAGCCACCATGATGTTTTCACAAATTGGTCCACTGGCTTTGAGCGGATGTGCAAAGGTATTTTTGGCTCCTGGGCATAAATAGGAATTCTCCGTTTTAATTACATTCCACATTTTAAAGGACTGAATTCCTGGTGTACTTGAGTTATTTTATCTTTAGTAAAAACGTGAAGCTAAAAGATTTAATTTTGATTTTTGTGCCATTCACTGAGGTAAAAACATGAAGATAGTCTACAAAACAAGACTTTCCACTAAGTGTGACTTGATTCACTTTCCTCTCATCCTGATCTTCTGACGTGAATACAAAGCAGGTCTTTGCTTGTGTTCTTCTGCTCAACAGTAAACTGGACATTGGATGATTTATCATGGTGCTTTCTTCATGTGAGGATTTGTTCAACGAATTTCTCTCCTGCAATTTATTGATATATCTTGAGTGCGGTTTTCAAAATGGCTGGAAGGAAAGCGATGAAGAGAATCAGCGTGTCTTTAGCACTGCAGGTGAAGGAATGAGCAGAGCTTAGTGAAAACCTGTTTATTATGATGTGCTTGTGGGCTGCCTGTACCTTCAGGGATTGTGAAATTTAATCCTGGAGTGGTTGAGTCAAATAGAAAAGATTTGTCTGTCTTTCTATCTACAACTGAACACAGAGAATCATTTCTGCACATTTCTGCTGTCAAACAATGGTCCAGATTCAAACATTTGATTCACTATTATGCAGATATATCCAGTAGGATAACGTTTGAGATTGTCACAGTCCAGAAGCCAGAATTAAAGCCAATATTATGCATTGTGGCCATGTGTGATCGTGTAGACCCCATAAGAGCATGTAAACCCTTTACTCACAGACGAGTTACAGCTACCATCAACCATCTGGCCCTCCATTTCATCTCTTTTTGTAAGTCAGACACAATAGCCACAGTCTCCATTGTCCGAGGTCAGCTTCCTCCTATAAAACTTACTACAAAGTGCTGCACATCAGACCACTAATCATTAACCCCAGCATGACCCCAGCAGGGCTGTTAGAGTAGCAAGAAAAATCATCATTACGGTGAAACTTCTGAGGACAAGTTTGTGAATTTAGTTTTCAGTCATTTTTAGTTTTACCAGATAATTTGCATGTTTCTTTTGGTTTAAGTTCCTTTATGACCCTGAGATTAACATATTAGAATTACAATTTTATATAGACCATTCTCTGAAAAAATTTGCCTATACAATTTTTGCCATTTTCACATTTGGATTCCACCTTCCGAGTGCATAAATCTCTTATGTTAAGATAGATTAATAATTTCATCTGAGTAAATTATAAACATTATTATATATTCATAATTATAGCTACAACATAAACTACACTTAACCACAAAATTTGCGTGCACTTTTTTTCAGTTCAGAACAGAATTCTCATCAAAATATGTTTCATCCAAGAAAAGCAACACAAATCTTTGAGTAGTTAGATGTTTTTTTTTTCACTTATAAATCATTTGACGTTTAAAGTCTGTGCTACTGAACTCAGTTTCTTTGTAATTTCCTTTCACACGCTTCCACCATTGTTGTAATGACTCTACTTTTCACTGCTACAATCAGCAACAGACACTGCTTCATCTTCTTCTTCCTCTGTTCCACCTAGTGTGGAGGTGAGATACTACTCTACACAATTAAATTCCTTCTAGCGGTGCATAATGGTATCACAGAGAAGCGTTTCATTTGTTCATCTAACCACATGTTTTTTTTATTGTATTCTTCAGATGTTTATCACAAAAAGCACCTGAAAGGGAATTGTGTTGGCAAGAGCTTACTAAGTCTATACTCTTATAGGCAGCTATTTCATAACCATATCAAATATGTTCTCTGGTCCCACTACACAAAAGAATTATTTTAGTTGATGTTGTCTCTCCTTAAATAGCCTTTATTGTGTGCAGTAAATCCAAACACTCTGGAATTGTAGCTGCTGAGTAATGCAGTCACAATGCAGTCATAACAGGAACAGTACACCTTTAACAATCAATATGTACTAAAACAGGAATGTTGTCTTATGTCATCCTACTCTCTCCACAAGGAAAGACTGACAACAGTATCAGGAGTCGTGAATAACTAAAGGTGACCTTTATTTACCTCACTGACTTTGCAGGCTGCAGTTTCCCACGAGACAGGGAGATTGCACAAGATGAAAGTCTTGATTGAATTTCCTGACATAATATTTGCTGGCACTGGGCAGACAGTATGATTTTCAGTGATGGTTCCGAATTACTACCCCACCTTCTTAATTTCAGAGCCCTTCCTCATACCTCGTCATAATCTCCAAAGTTGAATGTTGAATTTTGTGACGCTGGTTGCATTTGCACAGTAATAACACAGTATTCTCTCTGAACTGTGAGAAGCTCTCTGGGGACATTGAGCCAAAAGGAAAAATATTGTTTACCATTCCAGTTGTGAAGTATGAATTAAATTTTAGCAGAGACTTGAAGTTTGCGTTTGGTCATTCCATAGGTACGACCCGCCCCCCTCGAGACGGAGAAGTCCCAGGGGTGGATTACAACTTCCTATCTGTGGAGGACTTTCTACAACTTGAGGAGAGTGGGACCCTTCTGGAAATAGGATCGTATGAAGGTGAGGACGATGATGATAATGATGATAACTGGCACTTCACATGAGTCAGAATAGGACAGGTGTCCTCATTCTCCACAGATACTGTGAGCGTCACAGCCATCAGATTGTATTCTTTTCTACATGCAGGCAGGCTGTAAGACCATGCACTCAGTTTATTCTGATTATACTGTGCATGAAGGAGTGAAATGCATCCAGGAGACAGCAGATCTCTCCACATCTGCCCCTCTCCCTGATTATGACAGTGTTGTGCAGCGCTAAGTCTCATACTGACAAAAACCTGTGCGCACAAAATGTGTGTGTGTGTGTGTGTGTGTGAACGGGAAAGGGATTGTTTGTTGGGATGTGTTATACAGGGCTAAGTCTGATTTATATGTGTGTGTTTTTGTGTGAGACTGTGTGCAGGGGGGACTGGGAGAGAATGTTACAACATTAATCTGCTTGGCACTGACTCTGCTGTGTGCTGGCACGTTTCTCCCTTTCACACAGACAATGTCAAATACCTGTCCACAGGAGTCTGTGGCCATCCAGGGAACAGGAGGAAGAACAGATAGAACAGATCACTGAGTTTCAACTCAATATGCCCCCTAAATGATTAAAATCACATCTGATTTCTTGTAATACTTACAGTCTTTTACATATTTAAATCAGTGTGGTGTTGTATAACTTATTTATTTTAAAATGGTTGCCAGATTGACAGATAGCGAAGTGTGGCCTGATCTACCCTTAAATGACAATTTAGACATTTAGAGAGACTATCAGTTTATTAAGTTAGATTTTGGATTTTTGATAAGCATTTTTGATGGGCTTGTTTGTGCTCATAAGAACAAACTCTTTATTCAATGTATGTACTCAGGAATATTTTCAACATTGAATGTGAGTACATTTAAACTTTGTAGACATAGTTTATGCCCAAGCGGAAATTGAGTGATTCAAATCAGCATCTTTAACTGTGAACTCTTTTTAGACAGGTGAACCGGTAGTCAGAGCTATTAGAGTTGCCATCTCTTACTGTAAATCCCCAGTTTTCATCAAGCAGGAACACTGATTGTCTTTACAAGACCAACTGCCAACTACACAATATGTTTGGACTTCCAGGCTTATAGTATCTGACATCCTCTGTGAGCTCAGGAACCTGAGCTACTCTAGCAGAATGAGCAGATCGTTTACAGTGCTGTCCTTTGTTTCATTGTGATGAAATCGCGAAAAGCTGAATTGTGAAGAGGTGATTTCCAATGGCTTGGAAATAGTATTTCTGCAAATGCTGTTATTTACTTTCGGCCCCTACACCTGCATACAAGCATTCAACCAAAAACCTCTCAAATGTGATTAAAGACCGATTACAAAGCACAAACAATTTCCCAATGCTCTCTCTTTTTCCATATGCAAAAGCTGATGTGCTGGTTATTCCAGCTCCAAAGCTAAGCTACGCTAACAGGCTGCTTTATTTTTGGATCTGTACATGTAGTGCGTTGACGTAAAAACAATTAATAATTTGTGTATATTTCTTAGCAGGCAGTCATCAGGAAATCGTGTAGATTGTTTCCAGACAAAGTAAAACTAAATACTTAATCAAACTTTGTCATTGTAACACACACAAAAAAAGAAACATTTTCAACACTGACACAAAGTGGAATAGATACATTTGATCTATAAACCACTGTATACAATTATTCAACTGTGTGAAAACAGTTGAAGATAACAAATACAATACAGCCAAATTATTAAAAGTTGAATTCCAAAAATGGCCCCTAGAATAATTTTTGATGGTAATGAATCCATTGTTTTGTTCAGCGTATTTTCAGAGCTCAGATCATTATACAGCTGTGCAGCTTCCCATATAAACAAGTTGAAATTCACCTTCCTACTAGCTGCTTCTTTCCACAATTTGTAGTCACGTGAGGATCCAGCATCGTGTCTTTTACCCTCAGCATAAGATTAGGAGTCTGTTCTCTCCCCGCCGTTTTTCTGTCCCACTGCACTGCCTGTTTTTATCTGTGGCTCCTTTCCTCTTTCTCCTTCTTTTCCCCTCTGTGTCTCTCTCTGGCATGCTAATGTATTTCTTGTTGCCTAGGTAACTATTATGGGACCCCCAAGCCGCCAAGGCAGCCCATCATTGGGACCTTGACTCTCAGTGATGCAGGCTTCCAGCAGTCCACCCCAAAGCGCACCAAGTCCTACAATGACATGCAAAACGCTCGCATAGTGCCTGCTGACGATGACGATGACGACCAGGCCACGGAAATGAACAACAGTTTTACAGGTGAGGGAGTCGCTGCACCTCTTGTCTCCGGGCTTGTAGAAGTTTGTGATCCTTAGCTTCCCTCTGCTCGTTGTGTCGTGCACCTGCGATAGGTTTGTTCTGCAAGGAGGCTGCTTGTTTTGGAGTGTCCTGTGTGTACACTCAGCTCGAGATTGGGAGAGATAGTCTGTGTCTGTTTGGGATCCTCTCCTCTCTTGCTCAGTCATGGGTGTCTGGCAGTTACATCATGCTTTTGTTATACTGATTCTTTTTTCGATGAGCCTCCAAACACTGCCATCTGGCTGTGAGGAGGGGTGGTTTGAAGAGGAAGTAGAGTTCAGATCATACTACCTCTGTTATTTTGCCCATTATTTTCCTTTCATATCTTCATGCCTTTGGTAACCGTAGAGTTGTACATTTACGTTTAAAACATCTGAGCCCTTTTAAACTGAATTTTTGTTTCTAGCTTTCCCTTCTTAGAGCTCCAGTGATTTTGTGTGCAAGCGGTGGTGTACTTCTTTTTCTTCCTTTATGCTTTAAGTCTATGCCCTCTCTGTATCCCGCTGCCAGCCTGCCAATATGTTGAATTTGCATTTGATCTACCCTGAAAGGCCCATGGAAGTGGAAGAGAATATCTGGCCAGAAGTGGTGAAGGAAATAGGAATGGGGGTTGGGCTAGCTTAAGAAGAAAGAGGCTTATGGGAGGAGAGGTAAAACTGGTAGGGGTCAAATTGAGTTAGGGAAAGACTGTTAGCTAAAGCATTTGCATTTTCTTTGACCTTCCTTGTTACATATGAAGTGGGCTGGAGACGCTCAAAATAGAGAGTTGTGCTTGGAGTTTAGTATGGCTCAGGTTTCTTGATAAGTCTTGAAGTGTATTCAGCGTGCATATCTTCTTATTCCATTTTTCTTCTTGCATGCATTGAGCATAAACAATACTTTTGTTGATTTGTGTTGTTCTGTGCTGTGCTTGTTGTGCTACCCAGGATCCTTAGTGCGTAGTCTTTTCCCCTCTCCACTATTGTGTACAGGTAACCCTAACGACCAGGATGAGAGCCGTGGCAGCATCCTCCGGCCGTATCCTGCCCGTGACAATGCTCTGTCCTGTGGTCTGAACAATGCGGCCACCTCCACAGCAGAAAGCGGCCAGCAAACGCTCGCTGAACCGCAGGTCTCTCCAGAGGACCCGCTGGGCCCGCTGCCTGAAAACTGGGAAATGGCCTACACTGAGAATGGAGAACTTTACTTCATAGAGTATGTTTCTACAGTCCGTAGAACAGTCTTTTTCCCATCACAAGGACTTTTTTCCTCACCTTAGCTCATGCTTTAGTTGGTGTTTGCTTTATTTTACCTGCACTATCATTCCTTTTGTTCGCCCAGTGGCTTGTCTTCCACATTGATTTGGTTTTCAGGCCTCCTCAGCCAACCTGCCCAGCCCCCCTGGGTGTCACTGCTTTCCTGTTAATCCCTGCATGTCCTGATCTCAAAAGGAGATCACATCCTGATCACCTGACTACCTCCACCTCTCTGTCCTCTCTGCAGCACAGCAAAGGCACACCAACAGGACATGGCTGTGTATTTTCAGAGCTTGTATGTTCATTTCTGTTATCACTGATTTACAGTACGTTCTTGTTTAACAATAGTTTGGGATGGTTATTGTTGTTGTGCCTGTGTCATTCTGTTCCTGTCATGTCTGTTTGCAGTAGACGCTCTGTCCTCTGTAAACTTGCTGATGCATTTTTTTCCCTTGCCCTAATGCTTATTGATGCATTTGTGTGCCCCTGCTGTGCTTTGATATTCCAGTGACAGCCTCTTCTGAATTACTTTGTTGTCTTATGTCTTTCCTCTCAGCCACAACACAAAGACCACATCATGGATGGACCCACGATGTAGAGACAAAGCCTCAAGGCCTTTGGAAGAGTGCGAGGATGATGGTAAGCCTCTGCTCATCATCTATAACTTAAAGTGTTTGTTCAAACTTCTGTTTAGTTGTTCAGAAACAAGGAGTTTTTGGGCAATATGATCCTCTTGTGTATTGAGTAATATTATTGTTAGATTGAATAGTGTTTTCAGTTTTTGATTTGGATTGATTAAAACATGTATTTTTAAATTGGGAGGTGCCTTAATTTTAACATTTCACAAAAATGCACAGATTATTCCTTACATTTTGAGCAATTCTTGATTAGTTATGAATAATACTTTAAATCCATGGATGAATAGCAAAATTGCACCCTCTAGTGGTGAAACTGAAAGCAGCATGCAATCCTTCTTGATGTTTCTGAAAATGCTTCGGATCTAGATATAAACCTTTTTCTAAGGTCTGTCTGTTCCTGTGTTGCATTTCACTGGGTTTTCGTTTCATTCCTTCATTTTTCTATATTCTTCCATCCCGACCCATCACTCTTTTTCCATCCATCATTGGTCTGTTCTTCATTTCGGGGGTTTTTCCATTCTGCTTTCAAATTGGAGAAGAAGGGATACATACAGAGGACCTGGAAAGTGATCTAGGTAAGACTTTTGCAACTTTGTGTTCAAAACCAGCAGAGCATCTTCTGACAAGATCTGACGTGAAACCGTTAACAGGAAGCTGTTTATATATTTAATTAGGCTACATGCGGAAGGTCTCTGGCTTAAGAAAAAAGAGATCTTCAGAAAATCAAAGAAGCTTTTGTTTCCCAAACACCACTGAAGATATTTTGTACTATAGGAATTTTCTTTTTTGCTTGGATTTCTGTATGAGGTTGGGTACAGGTTAACTGCTCTTTCCCCTTAGCAACAGCTTCCCACTGCAAATACATTTCCATGAAAGAATAAACATATAAAACACCCACTCACTTTTGGGGAGACAGTCTTACTAAACTAACAAAAAGGTAGTGTCACCTCATCTAATTTATCATCGTCAAAGATTCAGTTACTATATTTCATCCAATTTTGCAAGGATGGGGAACAAGCCTGTAGTGGAACAAATCATTTTCAAAAAGGACTTAAAGGAGCTGTTCCCAGAGTATACTCACACAGTAGAATTTTTTTTACAGATTGTGAAATTAGATCCAATAATCATGTTTACTGGACTTCGAAAAGACCTATTGAAACACAAGACGATTTTTAAAAAAAATATGACAATGAAGGTGGAAGATTTCAGATTCCAACATCTTAATAGAAAATCAGCTTTAAACAGTATTCGCACAATCCCATATAGCACTGTGTGTGTGTGCACTGAGTATCTGTTAACAGAAGCTGCTCACAATATTATGGTAATATTTTCCAATGGCTAACACTTGAGATCATTAAATGATCTAATCACATAAATTTGTAGATCTGTCTGAAATACAATGGCATATGTGTGTGTTTCTACTTATTTTGTTTTTTCCAGGGCAGCAATTCAGCTCGTTATTAAGTTGTTAGGGATGGGCACATTTCTCTGATTAAAGACAAATATGTGCTGCTGGCACTTGCGTAATCCTTTAAATCTTGAAAACACTGTTTAGTCTCCAGTGATTGTGCTTTTACTAAGTAATAAAACTGAAATTGTAACGGGTGAACGTGAACACACTGTGAGGTCTTGGCATGCAGAAAACAACTGTAATTTTGAAAATACAAAAAGAGAAAAAAAAGGTTGTTTTCACGGTAAAATAAAAGCAAATTGATTGGTTTGAAAGTTGTAAAATGTTACTACATGCTGACAAACCACATTGGAAGTGGTTCAACACGTAACTGTGGACAAAGACAGTAAAGGTCTAGAGCAGTGATGGCATCCACACAGCTGTATGTGTATTTCTGTTTAACCATGTCTCCTTTCTGCTTTTCAGAGCTGCCTCCAGGATGGGAGAGAATAGATGACCCTGTCTATGGTGTCTACTACGTAGAGTAAGTTAATCACTTTATTGATGCAGCTCTCAGACAGATATTGTTTTTTAGAAATTTCATCCTATCTTGTACTGTCTATTTTTCTTATGACTGTCTGTCTCAGCCATATAAACAGGAAGACCCAATATGAGAACCCAGTGGTGGAGGTGCGGCGTAGAAAAATCCTGGAGCAGCAGCAACAGCCGCAGCCTCCAGAAGGTGAGCGGTATATTCGAGGTTCGTTTCCTGCCCTGGCACGGCACCATTTCTTTCTTTCTTTCATTATGCCTATCAGTGTCAAGTCCTTCTGGTTCAGTGTTTTCCAGGGTTTAGGCCAGTCTTTCTCTTCTCTATGCCATTTCCTGTCCTCAGTTTCTTTGTTTCCAATGCAAATCTCTTGATTCTCAAATATAAGCTGTTGTTCACTGCACTGACTAAAATCGAGCTGGCCTAAACCCTGGTATTGTTCGAGGTGTTCAGGTTCCGATTTATGTGATTTATTATCAAATAGTCTGTGCCGTTTTGTATTTGACCATTTAATGTGCCTTCTATGTCAAATTAATTAAATGTTTACTTCAACCTGAGGTTAGCCACACAACACTCATAATCATGAGGTGCCATCACAAATTCCTGTGCAAATCTCCTTAATGACTGATTGAACTAAAGATGAAAACATAATGCCAAAAAGCAGCTCAAATTGGAGCCCAAAGCTAAATAACACATTGAATTCTATCGTATGTTATCTTAACTGCTTTTCTCCTGCGAGCACCTAATTGTTTTAATTGAAGTAAATAGTTTTGATTAACAATTAAATTCAATTTTATTTATATAGCGCCAAATCACAACAAAAGTTACCTCACAGCACTTTCCCAAAAGAGCAGGTCAGACCGTACTCTGAAGTTATTTACAGAAGCTCACCAACACTTGTTGAGTAAAAAACAAAAAAATAACAGATTGAAAAACTGAGAAAAGGGAATTGGATAAGTAAGGAGCTGAAAAAACAGAGGTGTATGAGTTAATCAGATATAAAGCATTTTATCTTTAGTATGGGCTTTTCACTCTGTGTTTCTCCATTAGTTGCCTTTCAGTGTTTATACATATGCATATAATACATGCTTGGACTGGTTAATTGTGTTTTGATGTGGATGACTGTATTCCATACAGAGTGGATAGAGGAGCACTCCTCAGCAGCTGCTCCACTGGCAAACTATGCTCCAAACCACTTGGAAACCTACAGGGACCCACAAGTCCCACCGACTCTACCTCCCGGCCCTCCAGGAGTCAAACGTAAATCTTTGTTTTCATACTCTTAACAGATGTCTAGAAATGGATTATATCTGAATTAACATTGGAAGGTAATAGATTTGATTTATTTTTTAGACATTTATTAGAAAATAAACAGCAATTTTCTATGTAAAGTTATTTATATAGAATATGAATGCAAATACTGAAATTGCAACCATTGTATGTTCATTAGATACGCTGAATTTCAGACTTTCTCTCTGTTTGTATATACATTTTGTGCACAAAAGCTAACAATAGAATCAGACATCAGAATCAAACCCTCCAATTTACAGAACTGTTTAGACAGAATAGTCTAAAGAGTACTTTCTTCATCACTCTTTAGGAGGAAAACCGTTCTTCACAAGAAATCCAGCAGAACTTAAAGGAACCTTCATCAACACAAAGCTAAAGAAAAGCCGCCGTGGATTTGGCTTCACTGTGGTTGGCGGTGACGAGCCGGATGAGTTTTTACAGATCAAAAGTCTTGTGCTGGATGGGCCTGCAGCTGTGGATGGCAAAATGGAGACAGGTGCAGTACCCAACCAACATCCACAGAGGGCACTGTTTTCATTTAGTAAAAGTAGTGTTCCTGCAGGGCATCGTCCCTCGTCTTTAGAATATCTCTATCACAGAGCAGCATACCAATGAGAGATATCATAAGCTGTGCAACATGCATTTGACCTTTTAACAGTTTACATGAGGCATCACTAATGGTGTCATCTTCCTCTGTGCAGGCGATGTGATAGTCAGTGTGAATGACACCATTGTGCTGGGCTACACCCATGCTCAGGTGGTGAAAATCTTCCAGTCCATCCCCATTGGCTCCATGGTGGATCTGGCCTTATGTCGTGGTTACCCGCTGCCCTTTGACCCTGACGACCCCAATACTAGCCTGGTGACTTCAGTGGCGATCTTGGACAAGGAACCAATCATCGTTAATGGACAAGAGACGTTTGACTCGCCTGCTAACCAGATTGGACCCATTAATGGTATGCGAGAGCCACGATCACACAGCCCCTCAGCGGAGGTAGCATCCAATGGCTCACACGGCTACTCCACGGATGTGGTCACCCTGGCCTCGTCCATTGCCACCCAGCCCGAGCTGATCACCATCCACATGGAGAAGGGAGACAAAGGATTCGGTTTCACTATCGCTGACAGCCTGACAGGAGGAGGGCAGAGGGTCAAGCAGATAGTGGACTATCCACGGTGCCGTGGCTTGAAAGAGGGGGACATTCTGATGGAGGTCAACAAGAGAAATGTCCAGAATATGACTCACAATCAGGTGGTGGATCTCCTGAGCAAATGTCCCCGAGGGAGTGAGGTCACAATGCTGGTGCAAAGAGGTATGAATTACATATTGATGAAAAGTACTTTTCTGCAGTGCTGGATGAATGCATGAAGGCAATGAAGTTTGTAGCTGATAGGCTGTGAGCTCAAATGCAGAAAAGACTATACTCAAGTCCGCTGGATAGTTAGCACCTAGAGGGTGACATCATGAAAGAGCTGGAGATAGGAGTCAGCAAGAGAGTGGGTGGCAGGTTGAACATTTTCGGACTGGATAGGATGAAATGAGGAGAGGTACCGAGATGACAGGATGAGAAAGAGTGAAAGTGGATGAGCAGATGAGTGTGGGAAGAGGTGGGAGGATGGTTAAAGAGTCGAGATGGATGAATGAGGGGAGGAGAAGAGCAGCACATTAGGTCATGGACTTGTATATCAGTCTTAATCATTTACTATCTGTAGCTGCTCATGTGAAACATTGAGTATGAGGTTTTCACAGCTAATTACTATCTGAAATGAATAAGTAGAGCCCGTGTGTGTGTGGAGACAGAAAATGACTGCATGTTCATTGCTGACTGATTTTGATTCAGCTGGCTAATACTATAATGTATCTTGTGATATTTACGAACATTGTCACACCCTCATGACAGTTAATGTTCCTACACGCTGCATGTTTGGCTGGTAATGACCCGCAGACTAATGATTTGCTCGCTGAGATGTCAGCAAAACAAATTGTCCAGTGCTCCTTTATTTGTGTCCAGTACCTTTCGTTATGAAAGTGCCATTCATGTTGGCTGACCCAGATTTGTATTAGTGGCAGGTCGGGATATGAACCCCACATCAATTACGTACTCTAATGAGTTGACCTTGTGGACTGCTGCTGGAATAGCGCAGCTTTATTGTGCTAAATGCCAGCATCATTATGGATTGTGTGTGTGTGAACATGTGTGTGTGAGTCAGAGAGGCCGAACGATACAGATGCAGGGCAATATTCCTGCTACCACAGCGCTGAGAGAGACGTAAAAGGAGAGTGACTAAATCAGACGATAAATGGGGAGGAGATAGCAGGAGGTAACCTCTGCTGTCAATGAGTGACAGCTACGTAGATCATGTGCATTACCCTCAACACCAGCCTGTCATAACTGCAGGTTAAGATGAGTGACCTAGTGGTGAGCGATGGAAACTGAAGTTACACAGGCAGATGGTGAAATCAGTGCTCAGATTAAGTGAACAGCTTTCACAATGTTATGTATCAATGTGTGTTGTTTGTGTGTCGCTTAAACAGTCTAATGGCGATCTATGAGACTATGTATGACAGGTCTACCCTTATACATGTGTAAGGGTAAATGTGCCCTTATAAAAGGGGCACATTTCTCTTTATCCCCATGCGCAGCACTTTGCTCAGCAATTTCCAGGACTATAAACCAAAAGATTATTATTTTGATGCACATATGTCACCACAAAGAAGTTTAGATGAGCATTCCATGCTGCTTTTTGTGAAATGCTGACACAATAGCAGTTTGAGATGCAGCCTGTATAAAAGTAATGGATAAATGGGTAAAAGTGGTGTTTTGCTTCTCAGCAAAAATCAGCATACAACATGAAGTGATGCACAATATGGTGTCTAACACAACATGTGAGATGGCCCACAGTCTGACTCCAATACAAATTTAAATGAGAGCTTTTTTCACACATGCTATCTGGTGTAAAGACACTTTTAGTTCATCAACATAAAATGATTTTGGCACAAATGCGTAGTGTATGTATAAAAAACAAAATACGGAGGATTGAGGAAGCAGTTCAGAAAACAATCATCAGTTGTAGTTGCAATCAATATTTATGAGTTCTTGGAAAGAGATCTGTAGTTTTTGTTGGAGGAAAAAGCTATGACCTTTCAAATGATCAGCTGCTTACGTATCAGCAATAATGGCTAAAAAGGAGTCTGCTGAGTGGAGAGGATGAAAAACATCAGGGATCCTGTTTAGAAAGGGTGGACATAAGAAAACGAGGACTAAGAAAACCAGTATGAGATATTCTGAATAGCACTGGAACCATTTATGAGGAGACAGTTTTTTTTGTTTTACAGGCAAAGGAGATAAATAGGAATAAGGTGGACTTCACCTTGAGCAGAAAAAATCACTTTATCTTTAACTCATCAATCTGTAGTAACTTCAGAGTCAGCAGTGTTTTACAAAGACATATAACAACACAAGTACGTCAGAGCAGCACAATGATTTTCTTTATGGAAAGTTTTTTCTTTTTTTCTCTTTTAGTTTTTTTCATACAAAAAAAAGGAAAGTTATTAAGCAAAACTTCATCAGTGCATTTCTCTGTACAGTTTTGGAAAACTCTGAGGTGGGTTTTCTTCCTTAATTTAACAAAACTAACGCGCATGATTCCAACGTGTGTATACAACACGAGCACGAGCCAACAATGAAAGATATGGTGGCAAACCTTTGGCTGAACCTCAGTATTGGTTTATGCATCAGGCATAAGTCAACTGGACATTTGTTGCTACTGTGTTTTTAATATTGGTGGGGTTCTCATGAAATAGTTTACTTTAATGACTCATCCAGTCATGTGGCTCCCTGGCAAATCCCTGGAACCCAAGTAGAGTAACTGTTAGGAAGCACGGAATCTTACCATGTTGATGATTTTTACTCATTTCGATTAAATATTTCTACAAATATAAATGTCCATAACTGTGCAGAGAAGCAAAATCTTTCAAGCAAATCTCAACTGCTGGCTACTTATTTGTCATAGAGTAATTATTCTTCTTTACACAAACCTTCAATAGGTGTCTATAATTTATTCTAAAAAATATTTTTCCTCATAAAAATAAATTAAAGATCATATTATAGATAACATCTGGTATTCTTACCCACTGGATCCTCCTCTGTAAAGGAGGCCAAGCCGGCTATGACTCCTCCATCTTGTCTTCCCATCGTTGTTGCCATGACAATCGTGCAGAGAGCTTGTGTCCCCTGAGAGATGAAGAAAATGAAAAGACAGAAAGAAGGGAAATAAAAGGAAGAGAGAATAGAGGTTGTGGGATGAAATTTCATGACAACTGACAAAAAACAAGACAGTATAGTTCTCAGTTGATGAGGAGTGAGACAGTTGGAGACCAATCTTAGGAGAGCAAAGGCAAATGTTGACCGGATGGTTAAACAAAGGAGAGCATTACTCATGTTCCCCTCGTCTTCCTCTTGTGTATATAGAAAACCTAGTGGAAGGAGTATTCATTCACTCTGTGTGGGCTCTGCATATACGCACCAAGGCCAAACTGACAGTGAAATGGCAGAGCGTTGACAGTGCAGCGGATTCACTTTAAGCTTTAAAGCTCAAGTTTTGCAGCACTTTTTTACCCCATATGTGTGTTTGCCTGAACTGTCCTTTAATGCTGTTACTGTTCAGTAGTGATTTACAGATTCAACACAGGAGACTAAAATCCTGTGTAATATCATAATGAGATGGGACAGATGGCAGGGACATTTTTCAGAGCAAATCAAGTTATAAATAGGCTCCACCTACTCTGTTTATGTAATTTACAAAAATGCCTGTTGGTAATTCTAATATTATTGATTAATAATGTGATCAATAATATTTTAAGTCTAAATATTTACTGCATTAAACATTGTACTTTAGCATATTCAATTGTAACCTTTACGAGCAGTCATACTTCCTTACAAAATGAACAAGGAACAACTGACACTGCTTGTTTTCATTTTAAATTATTATGGCCGGTGTGTTTACTATGTGGGCTAAATGTAATCTCAGAAATGATCAAACCATGCTTTTTAAGTTAGCGCCGTATTTTCTAGTGATGAATTGTAACTGTAAAACAAAGCTAAATTTTTTTGCAGGGCACTGATTAGAGGTGATGAGCTTGTGTAATGCAGGATCTGCACCCAACTAAAATATATCAGGATTATGGCTCCGATAGAATATTGTGAAAACTGTAAATGGCATATACTCCTGCATACTTGTCAATATTTTTGCACTGTGCATAAATAAATGCTAACCTTCCATGCCCATATCACATATTTATAGCATACATGCATTTATGGATGCTTCCTCAGAGTTCAGGAACATGCAATTCCTATATTTATATATACACACACACACATACACACGCACACACATATATTATCCCCCCAATGCAAGAATAATATGTAACTGTGTAAAATTATTTGTGGAAGAAACTTTTCAGATTATAAAACGACTTTTTTGACAAAACCAATAGTAGAGCAACAGTTATTCTTGAAATCATTTTGTTCCTTTTTGCAAACTGAAAGGTATTTAATTGAGTCAATCTTCCACATGTATAATGGCAGTGATGAATTCATTGATAATTTGTCAATTTTCAAAATATGTTTCAAAGGTTAAGGTTGTTATTATCATTATTATTATTGGCATCTGACCTTGTGATGCATGTCCCTCCTGTGTCAGACCCACCAAGTAAAACAGGGGGGGGGGGGAGTCATTCAGTCTCCCATCAGCAGCGTAGATGGTCCAGTAAGTGCCGCCCCGTAATCTGAGAGACAGAGCGAGCACACGAGAGAGAAAATAGAGATAAATTATGAATCGTGTAGAGAGTGGGGCTTTGCAGCAACAGAGAGATTTAACATTTAATGATTTTTTTGCCAATGCAGCAGAAAGAGCCTAAGATGGATGCTTGCATGTTGCGTGTTGTCCCTGGAAGATGCTGTTGATACTCGGTGTACATGCTGAGTTTTGGCTGTTTTAGGTAAATTGTAAATGGTCTCTGCAGCACAAATGAAGACTAAGGAGGCTGCTAGGGATCAAAGGTCTGCAATTAATTTCAATGTAATGTGCTACTCATCTGTTGCCTTTGTGTACAGCCCTACTTGATTGCCTTGGCAACTGCAAACCCTTGTTCCAATCCTGCCTCGTGTCATATATGCATTCAGTTTTCTATTTTTGTCTCAACGTACTGTGGTGAATCCAAGGAAGAGAAGCGTCAGTAGAGACAAGAGTTTCTTGGAAAGCAATGCAAGAGTTTCTTGTAGGTTAAACAATCAGGTGAGTGCTGACCTGATAGACTGCTGTTAACATGTTAGTGTTAGAGTAACTTGTAGACTGAGTGATGATGAATGCTAACGAGAGCGGCAATGTACGGTATTCCAACCGAAAAGCTGTGAATCATCTCCCCTGACACGTGGCTCCACACATTAATTATTCAATAGCACAAATTAGACTGATCTTCTTGGTTACTTTTTACAGATTGTTGTATAAGAGAGATAGAGATGGATAAAAGCACAGCAAGTCATGGAGCATGGAAGAGGAGAGGGGGAGGGGACAGGGGGAAAAAAGAGGGGGGGTAGAGAGAAGATCAGCTTCTGAATGTTCGCGGTGAGCAAAGCAGTGGAGTTGAGAGGAGAGGAGACAGCTCTGTAGATGCTCAGAGGATGTGCATAGTGAGGCTAAAACTCAGGTTTCATGCGATGCTCCTTCTCTGTAGCTGACAGCTGAGATTCTCATGGAGAGCCTATGTTGGAGATAAATACCAAACAGTGGATCTGTGGCTGCTTTGGGGACCTGTAGATTGTCCCAGGAGCAGTCTTCAGCTGCCGTTGAATTGGTCAGTTTGTCTAATGCAGATAGATAAGTGACTCCTCTGCTAGTAGCACGGGTGAGAGCTGTGAGTGGAGTGGGATACAGCACAGGGGGGAGGAGATAGCTTAGATTAGCAAGCAGCCCAATGCAGTGTGTTGCTCAGAGAGAGAAAGCAACAGAGCTGGGTCAGTGGCGCTCTTCTCTGCAGCAGGAACCAAAGGAACCAAAGGCTCTTCCGTTTGTTCTTAGGAGCTTTTGACAAAAGTTGACAGAGGAGGAGCACTGCAGGTCATTAATGCTCTCTCTGTCTCTCTGCCGATGTTTTGCAGGAGTGGTGCCAGCCAAGAGGAGTCCAAAGCTGGTGGTGAGTACCATGTCTTCACTCCTTTTGTGTGTATGCATATCTTTGCATTCTCCAGACTGAGAGAAGTGCTATTTTAAGAACAAAAGCCATAGACGTGATATTAAACTCCCACTTTACATTTCTGCAAAAAATCCCTCTTTTTCTCCCTGATGCAATCATTTCTCCTCTTTCTTTTTCCCTCAGCCTCTCTTGCTACATTCTTTCCGTTTTCTGTTTTTTTTTTCCCGTCAGCATTGTCAGTTGTCGTTTTAAATCCTACTGTTCTCTGTCTACATCCCTTCAGTCCTGCCACGCTGCTGCCCTGTGACTGATTGAGCATAGCCTGAGCAGAGCAGTGTAACAGTGGCCAGCTGTTTGGGGAGGGGGGTGGGGGGGGGTGGGGGGGTGGCGGGCGCAGACAGCCACAGCTGAGGGAAGACGAAAGACGAAGATAGAAAGAGGCATGAGGAAAAGATTGGAAAAAGTGAGGAAAAAAGCTTTTGTGGAAACACAACATGGATGGTGAGAAAGCCCTGACACAAAGGGAAGATATTGTGCCACAGTGAGCTGAAAGTGAAGAAGAGGTATAAGCTTAAGGAGAGACTGCAGTGTGACCCACGCTTGTTGATTGGAAAGAGGCCATGGAAAAAGGCTAAAAAGAGCCAGGAAGACGAGATCTATAAGCAGCAAAATACTTATGTTACATTACTTTAAAAAGCAAAAGCCGCTTGATTTTTACCATTTATTTGAGCCAGATAAAGAAATCAGTTCAGACTAAGAGGAGATTCCAGCACTGCCTCAAAAGACTTACATTAAGTAAATACAGTTTTTCCTCTGAGGAGCTGCCACTTTATGACAAAGTTTATTTCTTTGGAATTGGCTCATACAAGGAAGGATGCATACCTTGTCCTGTGTCTCTTCATACATTCAAAGCGTTCCCCTCATCTGATTGGATGTTGGCATTAGTTTTATTTTGGTTTCAACCAGTATTGTGAGTCTTACCTATCCAAGTCACAATGGGTGTCATTCAGCAGAGGGGGGTTTGCCGCTAGGGTGTCAAGGGGGGGCAATAGTGACTGTCACTCTTGGTTAGCTTTCCACTTAGAATAGACAAGTTTCCTCTTTGGTGTTGTGTCAGTAAAATGTCACGCTGCATGCGACTTTGTGTCAGCCAAGAACACCCATTTTGCCTTCAGGTCAGAGTCTAAATAAATGCTCATAGTAAACTCCAATATGCAAGAGAGGCTGTGCTGTCCCAACTCATTAAGTAAGTCCCCTGTGATCTAATGAGACGTCAGCTTTGTATGGCTGTTGTCCTCATTAGGAAGCATAACTAGAATTTGACCCCTCCGTCTCCTACAGTATGAGTGGAAAACTGGGAATGAATCAATTTTCTAGCATTTAATGCAATGCTTTATTATACACATCAGAGAAAGAAATTATTCAGTTGTCAATCTTTCCCATTTTTATTGCCAGTAATCATATTTTCCAAGAAGCATTCATTTTTCGTGCCTGAAAACTGCAGCCCTGTGTTAAAGCAGTACTAATAGCTTAGGTGTTGCGATAGCACCGTCTATAACTGGATGACCGCTGCTTTTGAGTCAACTTAATGGTGATCACAGATCTCATCGAGCAATTTCATTGTCATTTCTTTGCAGTTTTTGAGTAAAAAAATCTAAAGAAACAAAAAATAACCTACAGTCAAGCTACACTGGATTATTATTTACATTTTTAAAGCATACATAAAGTTAGTATAAATGAAAATGAATATACAAAATGTACCACAGCTATGTGAAAAAAGGAACTGATATTAAACTTTCAATTAGGTTAAACTATCATGTTAAATTATTTACAACTTTCAGTTATATTCCAATGCAGCAGACAATTTAGCATTTGATACTTTCACGACAATATCTTTAATATTCCCTCATATATCTGGCTGGATGTCTTGCAACCATGGAAACCATGTCATTTTTCCTCACACCACAGCAGATGTTTTTAGTAAGAAATGTTTGACTGCAATGTCTAAAAAAGATGACCTTGGTTGCTTTTTCATCACTCTTTGTCCTGTATTTCCCTTCATTCATTGACTCATCTTTCACTTTCTCTCTCTCTTTCACTCTCTCCCTCTCTCTGACTCTGTCTTTTGCATCTACATTTGTACCCATCCCCATGCTTTACTCTAATACACCTGTTTCTTTCCTCTGTCCACCCAGCACCAGTTGGAGAGAAAAGACAGTCAGAGCAGTTCTCAGCACAGTGTGTGCAGCCATCGCAGCACCCACACTGATTCTCCCAGCCACCCACCCTCTGCCATGCCCAGTGAGGCGGTGGCTCCCACTCCTGCTGCCCCCACCCAGCCTCTGCCAGGCCTGCCCCCCCAGGACCCCACAGATGGCACTCCCACCTTGCAGAAGAAGCCAGACCCTTTCAAGATCTGGGCACAATCCAGAAGCATGTATGAGAGTCGATGTAAGTACTGTTGTCTTTTTTGTCTTGTTATAGAAAATGAAAAGTAAATAATTGAACCAATCATCAAAGTTTGCTTTTGTATGAATGATGTGGTTTATTGCCATATGTAGAATCAAATTAACGGCAGAATAAGGTAATTTTATCAGGATTCATGCAATGTCATATTTCAATTTTTTCAATTTTCTTTTTGAAAATGAAAAAAAATCTGATATGTCTGAGGCTAATGTTGTGTGTTTGTGCCTTGTAATGCCTTTTTTTTACACATTTGCTTCACATATGTTTTGAGTCAGAACTGATCCTGTGACAAAATGTGCCTCCAGTGGGAGGTGTCCTTGAAAACACATATAAAAGCAGATGACCTGAGCTGTGCTTTTGTGTGTGCTACTTTTCCACACATGATCATTTCCATGCTCTCAAAAACTTTCAAGTACAAAATTATAGAACAGGGTCTGAGTGCCTACCTCACCTCATATCATACCATTGGAAGGATAAATCAGACACTTATTTCTGATATTCACGTTTTCTTGAATATCCAACAGCCTGTGTCATGGTACTAGTTAATAGAGTAAATCTGCAACATCCCATTAGAAGGTGCATGGCTGTAAGTGTGTTTAGCATCCTTTTAGTCATGGTCTGTTATTGCATAATCCAAAGGGAAACGCTATTGCCGAAGTGTTTGTTACAGAGGGGTCCATGAGAGTGAGACTCTGTGAGATCCGCCCAAATAATAGGCTCTCTCTCGAGCTCTTCAAACCTCCCATCCTGCACTGGTAGTGATTTATCAGCCGATGACGGGGAGGAATATGCTTGGAAGGGTGGCTTTGTGTTGCCAAAATAGCATTTTCTCATTCTGAAAGGTTGATGTTTTTGGCAGTTTTTTCTTTCTTTAAGGATTAACCTGTAAAGCATTCATAACCATTCTCGACCAGATGTGCCGATCTTGCACTCGCTATGTGTTGCGGGGCTGGTTAGTGATAATGGCAGCATGTAGAATCTAGGACTGCTGCTGTTGAAATATTAACCAGGCCTTGAGATGGGCTGCTCTAAGCTGCAATTGATTGGTATATCTGTTTGATAACCCCCGGAGGAGGTACAACTCCTTCTCAGTGGGGAAGCGAGGAGACAATGAAACAAGGAAGAGAGACAGACAAAGAATGACAAAGAGGCCCAGATTATCTGTCTCTATCTTCATATTTGTTCATGCTGTCACATAGTCGCTCACACTGTCTGACTTGGTGAGCAGATACATTCATGCATCTACAGTGCACACTTGAAGAACAATATTTCAGTGTCACAACAGCTTGATTGAAAGGTGAGAGTTTAGATAGATGGCAGCTAAACAACTGGACATTTAATCTCTCATCCAGGCTTTTTCTGCTCTTACTTCCTGCCAGAGGGTTCCTGAGCTATATCTATGAATGGAGCTCATTTGATATTCAGCACATGAAGTCCAGAGAAGCATTCTGGATCTTCAAGATCTCATATGTGGCCCTCCTGGAATGTTTCTGTAATTCACCCCAAAGTCTTCTTTTCATATCTTTTAAATATCGTATGCTTTTTCAAAGATTTTTTCTTGGTTGACTTGACAGCTCACTTTGCCTTTGAATTTTTACTGGTGCTTTCTTTTTATAGTCTTTTTCATGGAGGCATTTTTGCACAGGAAATCTGGGTCTCATCAGTTTTTCATGTATGTGTTTGCTTTTTTTTTCTTCTGCTTTGCTTGAGGATTGTTTGCCTGGTGTAGGGGTGTTTTACCTCAACATTTCTGTTCGAATGAGAGTCCAAAAAAATTTTCTGGTATTGGGTAGGACATTTTCCTGTGGACATTGAGACTTCCATTACCATTTTCAAAAGATAGTTTGCTCTCTTTCAAACAGTCCCTCATGAACTTGATTTTGCCATCCATCCAATTTATATGTTCTCTGAGGGATTCTCCTTCATGGAATATGGTTTTGACCACTTGTCATCCACAAATACTAACCAGTGGCTAGCCTTTTTTAGCTATTGGATTTGCAACTGGCCTTGTGTGGCAGCTGTGGAGACAGCAGGCGGTGCAAAGAAATGGCGTGTGCCTCCTGTGTGTTCTGGCCCTGTGGGTTGAGCAGACTGACACCAAATTGCCTGTGTCCTCCTCCACAGTCAGCTTTCTCTGTGGCAAGATGCTAATGTGTGGGGATTTACATGAGTGTGTGTTTCTTGTAAAGCAGGCGAGATACAGGGAATGGGGAAGAGACAAATAATTGTCTTTGTTTCAAATTCATGTTGTAAATTAGAGAAAATCATGATGACCTCTCAGGCTTATAATTTCAAATTTTAGGTCTGAAAGTATGATAAAGCCAGGCCTTGCATTGCCCCTCCACGCCCTAGAGTGTGGTCTGAAGAAGTGATTATTATCTCAAACTTTAGGAACACCAGAGGGTTTTAACCTCAGTTATAATGTCATACTGTGCATAACGTTTTTTTCATTCCAGGCAAAATATAAATATGAGACATCAGTTAACCAATTTGAAACAAACTCCAAAAAAGGCCATCCAGACCTATCAGCAACAAGTCCGAAAATCTTTGCTTTATAATGAAATCAGGTTATGCGCAGCATATTCTACTCTAAAGCTCTTTCCTGTTGTGAGACTCTATTTAAAGGAAAATGTATTCAACAAACCTGAAACACTTCCAGCTGGGTATCCTCAATACCTGAACATGTTGTGGAAGATACTGACATCAATTACTGACACCAAAAAAATTGGAAATGTGTTCAAAGTCTTAAAATGGACATGTTTTAACAAACAGAATTAAGTTGGTTAAAACACAACCAATAAATTAAACTTTTGGCCTTTTTCCAAGCCATTACAACTTTGTCTTATGTGGTGCTGTATGATCTGTCTGTGTACACTGACTGAAGTGCAGCTCTTACATATCTTTATTTATTTCAGTGCCAGATTGCCAGGAGCAGGACATCTTCCTTTGGCGGAAGGACACAGGGTTTGGATTCCGTATCCTAGGAGGCAATGAGCCCGGGGAACCTGTAAGTATTCGTTCACCTCTGCATGTTTTTATTTGTGTCTAGTAATACTCATGAATTAAAGGTCTGAAGGACAATTAGCACATTACTCTCTTTTCTTTGTTAGATTCCGCTGTCTATTTTTCCTTGGCTCGTTATTTCTTTTCCATATGCCTTTAAACCATGCAGTACTAAACCATCATTCCTCATCTCTAACTGTAGCTGTGGATCTCTGGAGAATCATATTGATAGCTTGTTGAGAGAAGCAAAGGCCTTATCCACCAATCCTTTTTGTTGTTCGTCCTTATATTTGTCTTAAAAGAGGGAGCAAGAAGAATGAAAGACAGAAATTGTGAAATAGGGAGAAATAAAACGGCAGCAGACTTCATGGCTTCCCCTCAGGAGTTGGTACTTGTTGTTAGCTGCATGATATTTGTGCATGCAACGTGTACACCCCCACACAATGCCTCACAGGGCTGCATCGGCCCTCTTGGTATCTCCAAAGTCAGCTGCAAATACCTTGAAGTTATGCAACAGTTTTTTTCTGAAAAGCGGCTGCCTCAGTCACACTGAGTCACTGCAGTTTCTTTTCTGATGTTTCCTTTCTTCTGATTAACTGCAATTTTAGAACTCTTCCTTGGTTGAGATGGTTGCAACAGTGGTGTATTTTTGTGATTCTGTGGATTGGTACGATCAACGTTCTGTGGCGTGTGCAGATTTACATCGGACACATAGTGAAGTACGGGGCTGCAGATGAGGACGGGCGCCTGCGGTCAGGTGATGAGCTCATCTGTGTGGACGGCACAGCAGTGGTGGGCAAGTCGCATCAGCTGGTGGTGCAGCTGATGCAGCAGGCGGCCAAACAGGGCCACGTCAACCTCACCGTCAGACGTAAGAGCACCGGATACGGAGGTGATGAGAGTTTCTCACGGAGTAGATCTTCAAACCAATTGTCTGTCGCTCACTCTTTTTTCTTCATTGGTCTAATCACTCTGCTCCAACTCGCCTCATTTCCAGTGTCAAAAGGAGAAGGCGATGTCCCCCCCTCGCCCGCCTCCTCCCACCACAGCAGCACACAGGCGCCCAGTCTGACAGAGGGCAAGCGGACCCCTCAGGGGAGCCAGAATTCCCTCAACACCGTCAGCTCTGGCAGTGGGTCCACCAGCGGCATAGGCAGCGGTGGCGGAGGTGGCAGCGGGAGCGCGGTGGTGCCGGCCTCCCTGCAGCCGTACGATGTGGAGATCCAGCGAGGAGAGAACGAGGGTTTTGGTTTTGTCATCGTCTCATCCGTTTCCAGGCCTGACGCTGGCACCACTTTTGGTAAGAGACGTAGACCAAGTAGGAAGCGTAAATTCAGTTTAACATTTATCTTCTTGACTCTGTCCTCGTTCAAAACTTTAATCTGATGTTATATATCGATAGTTTGATGGTTCGTTTTGCAAATTAGTATGTGTTGAAGAAATTTCTCTATGGTGATTCTTTTTTTTCTCTCTTTGATTAATTCAATTTATGGTTGTGAGCAACAGGCATAAAGAAACTCTGAAAATGGCAGTTTTTGGTCCTCAGCCAACATTCTTAAAGCCATTACATATTTTTTTGTTTTACAGTTTTAGGTCCCTGTCCCCTTATCAGAGGATGGAAATTGATTTTTTGTTAGATGTGTCTTAACGCTAATGTTAGAGTTGATCACTCCCTTCTTTGAGATTTTTTTCATTCAAATGGTACATGTAAAAAATAACCATTAATGGCTGACCATTATTTTGTCTTACACAAAAGAAAAGCTGTGTTGATGTGCAGGAGGTGTGAAAGCAGCACATGAGCTAAATGATTACTTCTATCTTCTGGCACAATTACCATGGAAAAAACTTGCTCTTCATTGAGTTTAGTGTTACTTATGAATAGTAGTATTATTTAACATGAATATATAGGCAGAGGTAACAGATTTATTACTTATATTGCCCTTCGTTCATTAATTAAGGTCCACTTAGCTTCACTCCATCGCTGTCAATTCCATGTATTTATCACAGCATACATTAAGTTACATGCATTAGAATTGATCATTGCCTGAGAAGAATTGTAGATGTTGTCCTTGAACTAAATTTGTATTAACGATCAAGCGATGATTCCTTAGGATGACAAATGACAAATGTCAACCTAAGGATGCTTGTGTGTTTAGTTGTTTGTCTAGCTGCTGTTTTGTGACTGGCCATAGGCAAAAGCAAGAATGAATGACAGTGAGGCAATGCCACTACTCAGGGGAAATATATCTTTCAACACCACAGGCTTGTGGGGTTCCTTAGCAAAGTGCAATGTAAGAATGAACGTGTTATTGATAGTGCAAGGAGAAGTTCTTGTGTGAATATTTTCCAGACGTAAAAGATTGTTGGGTTTGCTGTTACCTCTTAGTGTTCCCCTTTTCTGCTCCACCCGTGTTTCCCTTGTGTGAAGATTAGATGATTTGACTTTGTACTTTCATGCAGTGATCTGGAATCATGCAGTAACACCCTATATTCTCTCTCCTAATGGATTCTAAACCCTTGTAGACCCAGGGTTAAATCAGGGGGTTGTGTTTCACTTAGAGATTAAAACGCTTTACTCTAAACAGGTTGAGTACTGCATTCAGTTTGAAAAGCATCTCTTCTGATTTAGTCTCCCATACATTCAAGATATGTCATGTTCCTCGAGCCCATCAGGGCCCATCCCCCTCTCATTTCCTCCTATTCTGACCATGGGTTGACATTGTGCTTAGCCAATTGGGTATTATATCTTTTCCTCACCCTTTAATGTCCCATTACTCATTGTTTAGATAAAGTGGCAGCTTGAAGTGCATTGTCAATCATGACAGAGAGAGAGTTACCGGGATCGTAGATGGTATAATTGACATAGATGCTGCAAAGATATCTGTGTGGACAGAGGCCAGTAGGAAGGAAGGACAATTTACCCTATACCTTTGCCTACAAAATAAACAATCACTCCACTTTTTCTCGTAACACTTACTTTAAACCTCATCAATAGTGCCACATGGAGGCTATAGGCAATAAACGAATGAATGACTTCTTAAAATCCTTAGAATTTTCTGTGGTGGTTGAGATGTACAACAAAGGCCAAACACATTGATCCAGTGTGTTGCAAGTTTGCCTAGTTATTATCCTGTCAGGCTGTGAGACCCAAGGATTTGCACATTTTCAAAGGAGCCCATGAATGTTGTTTTTTGGCAATAGATTTCGGTCTGCCTTTACAGTAATATAGTATATTATGCATGTTCAGATAGCAGAATTCTACCTTGGCACACCTTGCATAACGTCTTGGCTCTGTTGATAAACTGGGATGCAATCATTTGGATAATTAACCTTTCTTCCTTTCTTTCTCCCTGTTTCCGCCTTCATTTTCCTGAAATGCAAATAAAAACAATCAACCACCACAATCAAACAAATACTTACCACACGCCGTACTGACATGCAAACATGTTAACATAAAAGCTGGAAATGCTTGTGTGGCAATGCCCCACAAAATAGGACGCATCATCGAGGGCAGCCCGGCGGACCGCTGCGGCAAGCTGAAGGTCGGGGACCGAATACTGGCTGTTAACGGCTGCTCCATCACCAACAAGTCACACTCAGATATTGTCAACCTGATCAAGGAGGCCGGAAACACGGTCTCACTCCGGATCATCCCAGGCGATGGTAAGGCTTCCAGCTTCTTATAGTTCTTTCATAATGCAGTATGATGTGACTTATTCATGGTTGTGGTGGGAAGCAAAGGGCACTGATGCTTTTAACAGGCAAGAGTACTATTCATCAGAGTGTGAACCCTTGTGTGAGAAAGTGAGTCACGGAGTAAGAGTAATATAAAGTTGCCCCCAGATGCTTGTGTTGTGTTTCCACTCCCCACCCTTTTTCTCTGTTATTTTACCGGCTGAATATGCATTTAGTTTGGAATCAAACGATGAACTTTAAGCTTTAAAATTAGGAAAAGCAGATTAATATGTAATCTTAAGCAGTCTATGAATCTGTATTCCACTTTCTGCAATAATGATTTGTGTGCCGCTGGTCACCTGAATTCAATAAAGAGCAATATGAACGTAGGCAGGGACAAATTAAGTTTAAATGATACTGTAAATGAAAATGTTGGGAACTAACACCAATATGTCAAATTGAAAAAATACAAGAAGCACTAGATAAAAAGGTGAGCTGTGCCATGCTGTTCACCTCTGAGAGAAAGTCATATTTAGTCAAGTAATGGGGGAGCAGTGAGTAAGAAGCAAGGGACAAATGAGTCAGACTGATGTTCTTTCTAAACGCAGACAGAGCTAAAGTCCTGCCATGTCATTGAGGCTAAAATGTGATGGTTTGCTCTTGTCTGTGATAAGATGAAGCTCAAGACAAGAAAGAAAAGACAGTTGTCCTTGTTTGTGCCCCTCCTGGAAAAATAAATTAAACTCAATGATGTGTGTCAGGATTTCTTTTTCCTCTTTTCTACCATTTTCCCTTCGCATACAGGGACCAGTGTGCCCATGAGTAAATAGCAAATGACAACATCACAGGCAGTTAGCATCAGGTTGAATAGAGTTGCCTGTGGTTAGTTCAGGGGAATCCTCTGGACAGTAGCATTTTCATCACTTAAAGAAAGTAGCCATTTCAGTTCAACACGTTTATCTTTTCTGAAGATTTTATGTTTTTTTTGTGTCTATTTTCAGAAACTTCCAATGCCTCTCTGCTGACCAACGCTGAGAAGATAGCTACTATAACCACCACACACACACCTCAGTCCACAGAACCCCGGTATGTATATTTTTACCCACACACGAAAACATTCATCCATCTGCCTACAGAATATTAGTTATCATCTTATAAAGAAACTCACTTTTTTGTCTTACCCTGTCTCTTTGAAAGAAACAACTCAAAGTCAAAAGGAGCTCCTCCTCCACCCCCCTCACAAATACAGATGACACGGGTAAGCATACAGAATTTCACTGCACAGCAGATTATCTTATGGCACATGCTGGTCACAGCGGGCTTGATGATGAACAGAGAAAGACCTTCATGAAATAAGACATGATAAGCCTGAACTGGGGAAGGAATTTTTTTTTTAACATACCCCTGTGGATATTTGAACATCTGCAAAAACTTCATCTTGATATAACATGTTAGTTTTAGTTGAAAAGAAGTCCAATATTGGCTATGGTTAAAGATGTAAACGAGAATTAATCAGGCCAACAGCATTTATGCACATTTAAACACTTTTATGGCATTCTTCCATTATATGAAACACTATTGTGTTGTATGGTTTACCTTGGTACATGTTTTTCCTTACCTTCCCATCCCACTATTGGTTGAATGGGATGTTTGCAGTGAAGCTGCAGCATGCTTACTTTGCGTGTGTTAATCGTATTGACTTTGCAGACACTTTTATCCAAAGTGACTTAAAAGGGAGTATTGCAGATGTGTCAAAGCTCTAAATAAGTTTGCGTTAAACTTTCAGATCAGAAAGCTTTGAAAAACCTTCGCTTGTGCTGATTAACAGAGGGGGGCTTCACAGTGGTGTAGTTTTCTCTGTTGCCTGCCTGTGTCTCCGTGGGTTCTCTCCGGGTTCTCCGGCTTTTCCCACTGTTCAAAAACATGTTAGGTTGATTGGACATGGTTTAACCCGCCTCTCGCCCATTAGCTGTTTTGAAATGTTTCTTTTGGACTGTCTGGTTATTTTGGGGGGAACAAAGCCTCTGTTTGAAGAGAATCTTTGATGAGCATGTAGACTTAGGGGTTCAGCCCTTGTGGTGCCCTTGCTTTTCAATCTGTACCCTACTCACATGCACTGGCAGCATTAATTATTCATGCATTCAAAGGTATTGTACTGCCAATGACATTTTAAGTTTTTGTGGGACATGGCTTGATTAGTCCTGAAGTTTGAACTCACCTTTTGATTATATGGATTAGTCTCTTCTCTATGGTGTTGCGGTGACTCTCCCTTATTTTCCCCTTTTCAATCTCACAGGATGCAGAATTCTATTCTGTGGACCTTGAGAGAGACAGCAAAGGCTTCGGTTTCAGCTTGAGAGGAGGATGCGAGTATAACATGGACCTTTATGTGTTGCGACTAGCAGAGGATGGGGCAGCGGTTCGAAACGGCAAAATGAGGGTATGGATTTTAAAGTTTCTTCTGCCTCCACTTCTCATCTTTTAACAATTTGGCAGGCTAAATTTATTATTCTAATTGATGAAGTGCTGCCATTAGCCAGCTACCCCAGTCACATGTTTTCTTTGTTAGGTGGGAGACGAGATTCTGGAGATTAATGGTGAGAGCACAAAGAACATGAAGCATTCACGAGCCATTGAACTGATCAAGAACGGTGGTAGAAGGGCAAGGCTTGTCCTTAAACGGGGTGATGGATCTGTACCTGAATATGGTATGTAAAGACGCCACAGTTTTTTATTTATTTATTGTCTATCTATTGTAATTGTTGCCTCTGTACATGTGGTAGACTAGACTTCTGTGGTGTATACATACTGTACTACTGAGACATAATTGTGTTCCCTAGATGACTAGTCTGTTGGATAGATTTTTCACAGAAACTTTCAAATACTATCCGGAGAACTGAGAGAACACATTACACCGAAGCCTAAGTATTTTACAGTCTGATGGGTGTGCAGCTCAGATACTCTATAGAATTAACAATATTCCTTATAAAAGCTGTTTGATCTGCGGCTGGATTATTCTTCTGATGAATGGAGTCATCTTTCTCTACATTATCTAAACCTTTATGTGAAGGATTGTTGTCAGACACATTTCTGTATTTTTAGAGTGTGTTGATGTAGTGTAAAGTGTAATATTTTCTTGTCTTTCAAAAAACAAAAACCCTACTTCTTTCTATTGACACCTGTAAAACAGCCTCTTGTCTGTTTTATTTGTCTTCTCCTCTCCACTCCTCCTTCTTTCTCTTTGATTGTCTCGTGTTGCTGGGCTCTTCCTCCTCTCTCCAGCGATGATGGCTCCTCATCTCGCTGTTGGTACAATGAGGAATGACAAGATGGGAGAGCCCTGTTTCTACCTAATGGGCCAAAATCAGACAACGGTTTGTAGCCAAAAGTCTGTCCCAGTCCACTCTCCCTGTCATCTATTTCTTTCCACTTTTTCACACCCTTCTGTCCACCACATCCTCTACCTGCATCCTACTTTGTGTTTGTGTGCAGATGTGTTTGCACAGTAAACATGCCTGAATTCAGTGTAATTATTCAACTTCTGTGAGTTCATATGCAAGTCCTAACACCTTCCAGCCTCAGACCAGATGTTTTAATAGAGCTAATTTGATGCCACCACTTATCACAAGCTGCGGCTATAGCAACATACTGGACATGTCACAACCTCCGCCAAGTGCACTTCCTTGTTTTTGTTTTTGTTTTGGTTGATATACATTCAACATTTTGTTTTGTATGATTTCCTAGGTGCCCGCTGTGTCATTAATAACCCTGCCCTTCATTTGCTGATCTGTTGCACCTGCTGTTTTTGCTGGCATCGCCTTGTGTTTTAACCTGCAGCCCTGCAGTAAAAATGCATAAGCAATCGCTCAATGTATTTTTTTGTTTTGATGATGTAAATCAGACTCTTGTGCATCAACTTCGATCGAGTTTATTTCTTGGAATGTTTGCAGCATATTCAAGAACCCACGTATGCATGTGTTCCATTGATCTGCATTGGCTGTGTGTAATGTCAATGCAGGAGGTCACCTGAACCTACAAGGAATGTCATATGTGGTGAACATTCTTAATGTTGCTTTTTGTCTGTGTGTGTGTAAGATATTCCTCATTCTCTGTTACTGTAAGAGATATTTAAATTCAGCTGGTGTCTTGTTTCTCTTCTACTGCAGACGGCAGCAGTGACGGGCACCCTCCCACACCCGGGGCACAAAACACTCCGGAAGTGAGAAAGCTGCCTCTCAACAGCCGATATCACACCTCATTGGAGTCCAGTTATCCACCAGACCTTCACAAACCATCATGCCTGGAGGAGGCTGTGCGTGGCCGAGAAATGGACAGGAACAGGGACAGGGCTGGGTCAAATCCAATGGACTTCCAAGGCCGGCAATTTAACCCCCATCATCATCACACGTGGAGTAACAATCACAGTCAAAGTATCCCCACACAGCAGTCTCCTGACAACAGTAGCAATGGCAGCAAGAAGAGCCGAGGACGCAAAGTCAAGAAGTCTGAGTCGGAAAGCGGCATTTCGAAACTCCTAAAGACTCTGAGGAAGGACAGCTCAGGGAAAAAGGCTGCAGCTGCCGAGAAACTGAAGGAGCGAGAGATCGCAAGTACTTCTAGGCTGGACGGGAGGATTCAGCAGCGTCGTGGCTCCCTCGACCGCTCGCCAACCAGGAAGCGCGGCTCATCACCAGACCGTCGCCGGGCTAAATCGATGGACCGTCGGGCAGAGCGAGTGCATCGCGACTGCACGCCTGAGAGGGACAACGATGATGGAGGGTTCCTCGCAATCACCCCCGAGCGGAAGTTCTACGAGCGAAGACTCCTTAAGGACTCTGAGATGACTGGGCGAGTCAGGGAGGCTTCAACCCCTGAGCGCGCCAACAACACTGGGGACGCCTCGTCTCTGTCCAGGGGCCGCACACATGACAGAGCCATGAAGAATGGCAACCTTCTGAGAGACTCGTCCTCAGAGAGGAGGGAGGCGAGACACCGTCCGAACGGGACAATGGAGAGACGAAGCAGAACGGAACGGGATTCATCCCCTGACAGCAACTACAGCTGGGACGAGCTGAACTATGCAGCAGCACCGAGACTGACAGACTACTACAGCATGATGAAGAACAACGCTGCACACAACAATGCTGCCTATAACAACGCAGGCCATAACAATAACACAGTGGGCCGCAGCTCAAACCAGATCCCTGAGCCCAAGAGAAGGCTGTACAAAGAAAGCCCTAAAGACCTCAGCATCTAGACCAGAGCAGAGATTCCCCCGCCACTCTCTCCTCTATCTGTGCTAACTATGTACCGTACACTGGAATTGGACTTCTAACAACACTAACTCTTGTTCTATATTCGGTCGAATGGTTTATTGACTAATTTGATTAACTTAAATACATGTTGTCCCAACCATAAATTCACAAAACAGCAAGAGTACAATCCTTATATCAGTTTATACTGGTTGTTTTTGTCATTGTTCTAGTTATTTTGAACATAACAAAGGTTGTTGTACTATAGTAAAGGTATTGTATATGCCTGCATATGAAATCAGTGATATTGCTTTTTGTAGGCATTGCTGACTCTAAATATTTGTTCCCTCAGTGTTATGAACCATGCTACCATTTCTGGTAACTATTAACTGCTGAGCTTCTTTTCACTTGTTTTTAGATATCTTTTTCAGTCCCAAATTGCTTTACTGAACAAACTATAGCACAAGACATATATGGTTCACAACTACTGTGGAAATAACAAGAGTTGAAGCGAATGTCTAAATTTCAAGATCAGGTGGTAAATTTAAAAAATGATATATGACATATTTTTCAATTTGGCACAAATCCTAAGCAAACTGCATTCACTCTTTAAGGACCGAGGTAGAAATGGAAGGATGTCCATTTATGACGTGTGTCATTGAGGTGTTAGATGGCCTGGCCCCGATTATTTGGACAAATACATGCTTTTCAGAGACTAATAAATAAGAGAGGGGATGTACAAAACAAACTTTATTATTGTTAGTTTCCCTTAAAGTGGGATAACAAAAAACAACACAGTTAGCTTTTCTATGATTACAGTTAGGATGTGGAAGGAGCTTGAGACACTTTAAATTAAAAGCAAAACTAGTCTTTGTTGTTGAAAATTATTCAAATTCGTTCTTGATTCGTCAATTTCAAAACTTTCAACTTAAATTTAATTCAATTAGTCTGCATATTACTATAAAATCAGCTGTAGCTGTCTTAAAGTCTGTTTTTTATATTCCAAAAAAAGGAAATAAATATATGAATTATCCCTTTGCAAGATGCATGTTTGAATCAAAATGTAGTATAACCACATTATTTGATGGTCTGAGTGAGAATAACTGATAAAGAACACACAGTGTAATCCCACACTAATTGTTCGCCCAGTCCTGATGTTTATTGTGTACCAACCACCTCCAGGGCCCAACATTAATAGCTGATGTGGTTTGTTGTGATGGTCACATAGGAAGAATCCTGGTAAAGGAGACGACTAATCTGCCATGCTGAGCCATGCTGTTATGTCACTGAAGTCTGACTGCTGCTTTTTAATGTGTTTTGTGTGTATTCTCTGTTTGACTTTTCATTTATGAACTAAGAATATGTTGGATAAACCACAACAAAAGGATTGCTTCATCACTGTTGTCACAATGGTACTGTATTCAACAGAAATATAATTCCCTGCTCCCCCATCCCCTAAAAAAAAAACACCTTTAAGAAGTTGGCCATCACCTGTTGAAAAGAAGATGTAAAAAAATGAAATCCAATATAAATACTACGAACCTGTCAAGAAGTAAAATGTTGCCTTTTTTCTTGTACAAAAGAGAAATTTATGGAAACCTCTGGAGTGAGGAATGTGATATTGTGTTTATATCTCAGAAATGGACCTGATGTTGATTTATGAGAAACATGTTGATTTACTATGGATCAGGTATGTAAAGACATTTTAAAAATGAAAGACTGTATTTGGTCAATCCGAAACTGATGTTTTGAAACTCTCTTGATGGTTAGCCTGCCTTTGTATTATAAAGCACTTGTATGCAGTCTGTGTTCTTCAAGCATTATTTCTTGCAATGTGCTCCAGACATAATGCTGTCTCTGTGTTGATAAAAGCAGTACATGTATATGGGCCAATCTTTTTTATATAACTATGCATATATAAATACTACATTGTTCATAGCTTTATTTGACCCATGAAGCTATACATAACATTAGTAAAAGTACAAGTAGATGTGGACTTATCCAGCTTCTTTCCTTGAGATGGATTACAATGTATATGTAGCTGTCAAAAGAAGTCTGTGAATGCTATTTTTATTATCAAATAAAGTTTTCCATTCAAATTAAAGAGGATTCCAGTCATCTACACTAAGTCTCAGGGAAGGTATTTGAGGTTGGTAGCTTCATGTTCAGGAAATGTCAGTCATAGTCACATGTGTTTCAGTGTATAGGTTTACATACAGAAGACTGAGCCACACCTGTCAAATTCACTAAAGTAACATGGAACAAACACCTTGAAAAAAGGAAATCCAAATATCAATTTTCCTTTTTATATTTCTGTACATGTAAGCTAGCTATTTGTTGTTTTATTCTCTGCCTGCACATCAGTTGTTTGTTCTGGGAATACACTGGAGAAAGGTAGGTTTCTGATTATCCATTAAAAAAAATGTTTCTGTAGACAGATACACTGCTTACATATGGCCTGCAATGTAAGCAGGAAGGCACGGTACCTTAGATGGAAATATATATATGTGTGTGTGTGTGTATGGGTGTGTGCGTGTCTATGGAACTATATTTTTTTTGTATTTATCTATGGGTATTACAATTTATTCTTTGAGGAAATAGTATGCAGTCTACTTCTATTTTGGTACATTCTTAGAAACTGTTTATATATGTTTCTTAGAGGAGAGCCTTATGTTACTAATTCTGGATTTGCATTAATATCAATACACTAACCTTCACATCAAGGTGTCTTTTAGAGAATGTAGATTAGTAGTAAATCTTTAGCAGCCTTTTATTTCTGTGACTAATGTTCGTCATCAGATAAAGCTGGATGATGTGTCATGTGTATATCCTAAATAAATAATAGTATAATCCATTTAGGTTAAGATCTAACTCCAAGGTGACCTGTGATTGAAATGGGATTATAGCAGGAAATTAAGGACTTAAATAGACCTATGAAACCAAAATTTCTGGATTAGTCTTAAATTTTACAGATTAAGAGCGTTATGCTCTGCAAAGGGAGTAGAAAAAGTAGAAACTGACTCAACACATAAATGCATTCTGAGTAGGTCATTCACATTTATTTATTTGATTAAATATACTACAGTCATGCCACCCAAGTTGTAATTAAAACATAAACAGGATGAATCATTTGCAAAGTGCGTTTTATTTTACGTTGCCTTGATTACATGCCTCTACATTCAAAAATAAGCCAGTATCATATAGGATCCAACCATGAAAGATTTACTTTTTTCCTTTCTTCTCAGAAAAAATAAATCTCAAAGATTGTTAGGTTGGATATTCTGTACATACAGGAACAACTCTGTAATGGGCTGACCTTTCCTGCAACTGTCTTTTAGTTGAACCAACTCGTTTGTAAAAATACAAAAAGGAAGATATTTCTGTAGACATTAGCCTTCAGTCGTTTCCCTGGGGGAGCAGAAGTCTTCTTCTTGGATAGTGGATCACGGAGCCTTTGCTTGAAGCCCCTTTTATGCAGGAGACACAGAGCTGGAGGAGACAGAGGAGGCCTCGGTCTTGGAGGCAGTGCTGGATGCTCCCTCCTCCTCTTCGAAGGGATTCTTCCCGCAGCACAAGGTGGTGATCATGCAATGGCGGAACTGCTTGTTCATGCAGATGTAGATCATTGGGTTGTAGATGGAGGAACTCTTGGCAAAGAAGGCTGGGATGGTCATGAAGAGTGGTCCGAATTCAGAGCCCTGGTGTGTGAAGATGTACCAGGCCACTCCGGCATAGGGGCACCAAGATACCAGGAAGGAGATGACCATGATGATGACCATGCGGGTGACTTCCCTCTCAGCTCTCTGGGTGGTCTCAGACTCTTGCTGGGCAGCAGCAGCCTCTTTGACAGCACAGACCAGGCGGCCATAGCAGAAGAACACGACAATGAGAGGAATGATGAAGTGGCAGATGAACATGTAGATCACAAAGGACTCGTTGTTGAAGCCCTCTGCACGAGTGTAGTAGTCGACTCCACATGAGCACTGCATGCCCTCAGGGATGTAACGAGACCAGCCAACAAGAGGGGGTACAGCGCAAGCCGCGGCCATGAACCAGGTGAAGGCTACACCCATGATAGCGTGGTTCTCGCCGAAACGGAAGTTGCTGATAGGCTTGCAGACAACCACCCATCTTTCAATAGCCAAAACAACCAGTGACCAGAGGCCAATCTCACCACCAAGGGTAGCAAAGAATCCTTCAACATTGCAGCCAAGGCGTCCTAGAACGAAGTAGCCATGCATGGAGGTGTACATCGTTGTGGTGAATCCTCCAAACACCATGAAGAGATCGGCCACCGCGAGATTCAGCAGGATGTAGTTTAGAGGGGTTCGCAGCTTCTTGTGTTCGATGGTGACGTAGAGAGTAAGGAAGTTGATAGGGAAGCCAATCAGGATGAGGAAGAACATGTAGGCGCCAAGAGCAGCATAGGCTGCTGGGTTGACAAGGTAGTACTGAGGGTATTCATAAGGACTCCGGACAATGCCGGTGGTGTTAAGCATAGGGATGTAGAAATAGGGTCCCTCTGTGCCGTTCATGGTTGCGGTTTGCGGTTGCTCTCAGCCCTTCGGTGTTGTTTCTTCTGGCTGCTGGGGGATGATGGAGATGGACCTTGCTACAAATGGATCTAGTGGTCACAGCCTGGCTTTTAAAAGGCACACCTTGGATTATCACTTTCCAAATCCGTCAGCACAAATTGATTTAGGCCACGGTTAATAACTAATCCAGCCGTCACTGCAAACATAATTGACCACTCATCAAGATATTAAGGTTACACCTGCTCAGGCCTGTGGCAGAGCTATAGAATGTTTGTAAATCAAATATTATAATATGAAAAATAAATGTTAATATTTCAACTTATTTACTCTTATTCCCACATTATGACGATGAACCAATGTTTATTAATAGAAAATCTCTAATCTCTTAATCATAGAAAATTAGGAATGTGCATCACACAAAAAATTTATTAACTTCATATAAGGCTGCAGAGGCAGAAACACACAAATGTACTGTATCAGAAAGACTTGCCACTTCTTAATAGTGTTGCAACTGCTCCATCTGCAGTAGAGATCTATCATTGAACTATTCTGGAAAGATATGAAAAGGTAAAGGTAAGATAAAGAATTCTTATGACCAAAACAGCAAGAACTGTCCCTAAACTTTCCTTGAAAAGATCTGTCGGTCTTTAATAACATTTTAATGAATGTAGAGCAGGTACCATAGTATTGCTGAGAAGAAAGCAATCTTAGCCGTTGGTAAAGAGCTCAGCACTTTCCTAATGGGTGTTGTCTTAAAGAGATTTGGAGCTTATGGATGTGTTCCTTTCACAAGCCTGTAATGGATTTAATGTTGCACAGGGTCACTCTCACTTAGCAGGGTGAAACACCCATGATGTGGGATCCATTACTTTATTTCTTTTTTATTCCTTTTTATTTTTTTCAGTCATGAGTGAATGAACTTGAAGTTTGCCAGATCTTGAATTAGCACTACCTTTTGTGTCAGTTTACCGTATTTGTCTGTTAAAAGCTTGGCCTCTTTAGAGGAACTTTAGTATCGATGAGGCCTGAATAATCAATCAGATTACCAATTATAACCTTCAGACAATAACTTTCATGTTTCATCAAGTTCATAATGAACTTTCCATGTTCATCAGCTGGCAAGGTGAAAGAAACTCTGGATATATCCTCCAGTATTCCAAAGCAGGCAAATTCACATAAAATCATTTTACCATTCTGTAGCAGCTTTTTTTATTTACAGAGTTTTGTTTGTTCAGCTTTCAGTCCTACATCTTCACATCTTCAGTTCATTCTCGTTTCTCCAAATGCAACCATTTTCAGCCAGAGAGGGGATCTATCTGTACAGTACAGCAAACAGTTGACAGCAGGTTCAGGACATTTTAAACATCATATTCAAAGGAGCAAGAGAACTGTTATTGTGATTTCAGAGATTTCCGTTCTTGAGTGTTCACAGTGCTCACAAGTTGCAGTGTTGTAATAACAAATATATGTACAAGTAAAAAGGCTTTTTAGTTTTTTGAAACACAGAACAGTTTTTTTAAAATACTGCAATGGACCTTCTTTACTATATTTTTACATTTCATAAACTTCAATAAAACAATCGGTGATCATACCTAAACCGTTTGACATTAAGTATTTTTCTGGGAGGAAAATAGCAAAAAAAACATAAACTCTTTGGCTCCAATAATAGACAATTAAGTGTCCATCTCATAATTCAGCAATTTACCCAACAACTTTGTTCTTTACTTATATTAGTCTTACTTAATGAAGTCAAATCAGACGAAAAACTGCATTCATTAAATACAAGTCCTTTTCCATTATTCAACAAACACAGCATGAAAAATTGTTAAATAAAAAAGTAAAAAAGACTCAGCTGGTCTTTGGGATAAAATACTTTAATCTATTCTTCCTTTACATTTAAATATCCAGCACAGAGTTGGGGGGAAGGCAAAATATGGTTCAATGCATATAAGAATTTGGTTTAATGATAAGAGTCTAAAATAAAAAGTGTGACAGGGAGAGAGATTTTAAACCAACTGACCAGAAATTCCAGCTTAGTTTAGAAAAAAGAAACAAATGGGGACATCTTTGCTCTGTGCCTCATTAAGCCAATGTTAATGAAAAAAGATAGATAGTTTAGGTTAAAGCTATTTTATGTGTACAAACTATGAAAAATGAATTTGTGACATTGGGCTGCTGAACCACACAGGCAAGTTGCAGCAACAGGACCACAAACTTCTCTCAATTCACGGAAAAGAGATTTACAAAGATATTCACCTGTCAGGATAGTCTAGTTGGATCCTGTAGTGATGTGAAACCATTATTCAGAAATGTTACAAGTTTAAGGAGTTGCATCAATGTTAACATTTCTGTCTTGAAAAAAGAAACATAATTACATATTGCAAGCTACAGTTCAGTTCTTTTAAACTATCGGCATGTAGACAAATGAATGTCTACCTTATTGTATTTTAGAGATACATTTTTAAACTCCATATCATGGTGACTGGTGTTTGTATCCTTCTGAGAAAATACAATGTGTGTGAGTGTGTTAATCATCCATATGGGATTTTCAGATTCGACCA